AGATGTCCCCCCCCCTTCATCACCTTTGTGGCTCTGCGCTGGACTCTTTCCAGCAGGTCCCTGTCCTTCCTGAACTGAGGGGCCCAGAACTGGACACAACATTCTCTCGATCATGTCTCATCAGATACATTTCAGGAAAGAGGAGAGAGAAATGGAAGCATTTATATCCTGCCAAGGAGCTGCATGGTAGCTTAGGTTGGTGCTCAGTGTTCGACCTACCCATGAGCCTGTGTCCCTGGGGCTGCTGATTTCCCAGCCGCTGTGACTGTACCCAGAGTCCAGGAGGAGACTGAGATGCCCAAGTGAGTGGCTGGCCAGGCAAGGCACAAGCTAGTGATGCTATGGGGGACACAGTGCCAGAGCCCACTGTTTCGTGGTATCAAGAGTCAGCTCCTGCCCTTTGGGCAATCCTGACTATACCCCTGCCCTGTGGTGGCAGAAATGGAAGCGGCATTTGGGGAGGAGAAGCTGGAACTGTTTCCAGGTGGGGTGACAACGTGTACACCCTCCAGCACCAAGGATCAGTCACCCAGGCTGTTGCTGCGTTGCCCCGTCGAGGGGTAATAGCAGGTCCCGGTGCCGTGGGTACCTCTGTAAGCGCCGTCTCCCATCATTGTCTCACTTCCTCCCTTTTTCTGGCACAGAAAGGAGCTGTGAGGTCCCATGGCTTCCAGGACAGGGGGATTTCTGCTGCTTCTGGCTGGCAGGACCAGTGCTCACTGGGAGGCAGCTGATACTGCTGGGTGCCGTAGTGGTGGGTCCCATGGGCATCCCGAGTTCTGCTCATTTGGCTAATCACCAGCCCTGTGAGTCTGTGCAAACAGCAAACATCCATGGGTGGTCTCCACAGGTGCAGATGTGGGACGGCTGCTGGAGCACTGCTGGTGCGGGGTGCCCGCTCTGGCTGCCTCGCTCTGCCCCATCCCTGCCTCCTGCCCGGCCAGCGCCCCGCCTGACCTCCTGCCCTGACGCTCTTTCTGCCTGTGCTTTTCCTGCAGGATGCCAAACTGGGGAGGAGGAAAGAAGTGTGGTGTCTGCCAGAAGGCAGTGTACTTCGCCGAGGAGGTGCAATGTGAAGGCAGCAGCTTCCACAAGTCCTGCTTCTTGTGCAGTGAGTACCAGCCCTTCCTCGCCCCTCCTGCCCGGCTTCCTGGCTCTCCGCCCCGTCATGTCCTGTTTGGGGGCTGTGCGAACGCTCATGAGGATTTCTCTGCAAACAGCCCAGCTGTGGGAGCCGTGTGGCAGCCCTTCTGCTTTTCTCCAGGCTTGTGAGTTAGTTCTGCTGAAGGAACACAGATCACCCCAGGACACCAGTGGCCGGCCAGGCCATCAGGGCTGACCTCAGCCAGCACCCACGTGAAGGGTTAGTCTGTCGCTACACCAGGGCAAGGCTAGGCTGAGTCCTCTCGACTACCTCCAGATGGTCAAGATTGGAGCACAAGACAGGGACTCTCCAAACAGCGGTGGCAGGAGGTGACACATCCCATGCCATGCTCTGAGGTGATGCTAGCTTGCCACACAAAAAAGGTGATTTGGCCTTGGGAGCTGGCATGGGATCTGCCCCGTGTTCCAGGAGATGATGGGAAGAAGGTGCGGTCCTGTCCTGGCCATTCTGCTGCAAATCTGCTGTTATGGAGTGTGCCTCTGTGGTGTGTTTGGACCCAAGTGTCACTTCCAGGGAAGGGCAGCAGAGCAGGATCTGGCCGTGGCTTAATTCAGTGCGGAGACCCCTTCCTCTGCCTGCTCTGCAGGATCCTACAGGTACTCTTGGGTTCATGCTGCAGGTCCTCAGACACCCTTCCCCTCCCTTTGGGGTTACCAGGGCAGCAATGCAGGGCCAGGCAAGTGGTGTTATGGTGTGGAGAGAAGCTCCTTAAAGCTGTGACATCCACATCCAGGGGGGCTGAAGGACCTTTGAATAAAAACATGACTGCTGTCTTCAGCCTGTGTTTTCCCAGATTTCTGTCCTCTGCCCTTGAAGACTACCACGTAACAGAACTAGTGATTTGCACGAGCTAACAGGAGTGTGCACGTCGCCTGTGTCTGCTGATGGCTCATCAGCACGTTGCATCTGACACAGAGCAGCAGGAGTAGAAGCACATCTTCAGAGCTGCCCTTGCAGCAGGGCCCCACTGAGGTTTAACGTTTTCTCAGCTGGTCCCTGTACCCTGGTCCCAGTCTGACCATCCCATTGCAGCGGGCAGCACAGATGTGATCTTTTCCATACCGGCAGCAAGCAGAGCTAGGTGCTATAAGCAGGCACACAGCTAGAACTAATCTCAGTAGCACTATTTCAGCAGGGAAATAGCGGTGTCCTCATGGGGCTGATCCCTGCTCCTGTGTCCACCTGGCACGGATACTGTAGACTTCTTGGCCAGCCTGCCTGGGATGTGGCATGCGCAGATGGATGCAGATGTGTGTGAGAGAGGCTGTTGCTGCTTCTCTGCTCCCTTTGCAGCGTGAATAGTGGCCAGTGTGGCCAGTAGCTTTCCCACGTGGGAGTTTCCAGGCTGGAAATGTTTCTTTGGCTCGAGAGGACTAAGAAGGGGAGTTGCAGAGAGGCTTTCCCCAGGCGGGCACAGGGGTGGCAGGAAGTTGTGTTTGTTCTGCAGCCTCAGATAAGCAGGGTGGGGAATGTTACCCTCATCTTCCCCCCCGCCACTGGCTTTTACCATCTCAGTATGGGGACTAAGATCCCGTTGCACTGCCTCTGCCCTTCCTTGCGACCCCTGTGCACACAGCTGCATTGCTAGGGAAAGCTGCTGCCGCGCGATGCTGGCACCCAGAGCACGGGGCGGGCCTCCAGGAGCCACGAAATCAGGCAAAAGGCATTGCTTTGAGAAGGGAATACACAGCCAAAGTGGGGAAGAAGGTCATGCCATGTCTACACATGGAAGCCAGTCATCACGGAGTGGTCCAGAGCTGGTTACAGCCAGGACTCCTGTCCCTGGGCTTTCCAGACGTACATAATCACACTCCACATGTACCCCAGCAGTTCTGCCCAACCCAGCTGTGGGCTCCCCAGTTCAGGCCGTGGCCTGCCTGCCTGCTGTTCCCAGTCCCGTGCCCCAGGCTGCGGGTGGTGCTGAGCTGCACTGACCTCCTGCGTTCCCAGCCTGTTCCCCACTGCTGCGTTTGGGCCTCATTGGGGAACTTGAAGCCGTTATCTTTAGGGGAGAAAAACAAATACTTTGACCTGATCTGCCAAAAAAATAATCAAAAGGAGCCAAACCTACCACAGTGGATTAAATCTAGAGATTGGCTCAGGGAGGGACTTGGTGATTGACTCAGTGGCATCAATCCAACTGAGTCAATGGTACATGGCAGAAATGTACTGTAATGAGACCATTTGGCCTCTGAAAGTAGCAGCAGCTCTTGTCTAATTGTTTTGTGGAGCAACTCCGCTGCTCTTAGAAAAACAAAGGGTGCTTAACTCGATGAGTGTGGTGCGCTGGAATTTCTGCAATGCAGAAAGCGGGGAGCTGGGGGCTGACTTCTAGGAAGCAGACCTGGAAAGAATTTTTCTGCTGCCTCTCAAAGCATCTGTGGCTAGTACAGATGAGGGACTGTGAAAGCTTAGGTTAGAGCTCTAAATCCACCCAGCATGGTGGGAGAGAAAGACAGAGATAGTTCATTCCCACCCCTAGGACAAAGCTTGTTAAATGTGCCAGTAAAAGCACCCAAATTCCTCTCCGGGAGGGTCTGTCTGAATGCAGCATTGCTCCTGCTGAGCTCCAGGGTAAAGCAGAGACAACCCCCACACTGGTCCATTAGCTTGGCAGCTACAGGACCGGTTAACCAGGGCTGGTCTGTCTCAACAGGGATCTCAGCTCCTGCTGTGGCGGGATGGGGGAGCCCGTAAACAGGAGAGGACCATGCCAGAGCCTCCTTAGATGGCAGGAGATGTTTCCCTTTCCACCTCCTTCTCCCAGCAGCAGCACAAGGGGTTCTTGGCAGCCCCGGAGAAGAAGTGCCATATTTAGTAATCGGGCCGAGGAAGGCTGCCTCTTGTCCCCGTGTTTAGTGCCGCGGTTTGTGCCGCTC